TAGTACACGACCATGTCCATGGCTAGTACCTAAAATTGTTAACTATTGCTGAAACAAAGTAAAGGTAACTAACAAAGAATGGAAAATGACGTGGGTTTAGAGAATTACTCATTTATGAGACAATGTTTAAATTGGATACAAATGATCAACAAACCAAAATAGACTTTACCATTCGAAAGGGAGTAGAAGATTTTCGTCAAGAAAACTTCATTATGATACTTTACACCCCATAATTGGAGCCTAATATAAGTGGTAAGAGGAAAGGTTGTTGACATGACTCCTCACATATGGGCCTATGCAGTAAAGAAAGAAACTGATCTGCATTTGGTAGAAGAGACCCTGTGCCAGGTAAAGTAAACTACCAAAATTTTCAGGAAACTTTTACAAGTCCCCAACAGTAAAAGATCTCTGATTTCTCCTTGAATTAGAGATTGATCAGGCTTCGTCAGCAACTTTGTATTACCGCTGAATTCTTCGTCGACATTTCCTTCTTCTTTTCCAAAGATGCAAACAAATAATTTCTTAAATTTCTGGATTGTTGTGATAAAATAAAATTTTGGGGAAACAAGAGTTGGAGATTAAATCTAGTATTCGAATCTTCTACGAAGGAACACATCCTTTCATATGGATGAGTAACTGAACTTGTCTGAAACAACGCATCCCTTTCTATACTACTAAGCGTAGAGTTTTTTCATAAGTAGGATAATTAGATTTTTAGAAGGGCAAATATGTAATTTAACTTTTAAGTTAAGGGCTTCCTATTTTTAATATAACTAGTCTCTCTCAACGTGCGTTGCATGTTATCTTGTATCATTATTATAAAGTTTGTATTGCAAATTATTGAACAATTATCATATGCATGCTTTAAGAATTTTTAAGGGTATTTGAGCACACATTATTTGCAATTCAAGTATTTATTGGTAATTTTATCTATTACTTCAACTTCAATTTTAAATTGAAAAAATTTATAACCTAAAAGTTGTGTTTGAGTATCTCACATATAGATGATATACCTGATATATGTTTCTTTCATCCATTTTGATTGCTCTCTTATTGTCAATAAAAATATTGGTATTGCAGAAGTGCAACATAAAGTTGATCACATGTTGCAGTGGATACAATAATCTAACACTGAAGATTATCCTAATGAATAAAGACTCAGGAAGAACATAGCACCCACAACCCAGTGCATTTATAAACATATCACTTGCTCGCCTCTACCCTCTTATCCATTAATTCAATGAACCAAACACATGATGTTTCAGTTACCAATTCAATATTATCTTAGAATAGATTTGCTGAAAATACCTTGTCATAAGACTTAACATGTACGACAACATAAATATTAGATTGTTTCTCCATCTGTGCAAAAGCTTCGCTAATAGTTATTCCCGAGATATTTACAAGCATTAAGACATATCACATACATGATTAACTAAACTAAACTGCAACAACTACAATTCAACAAAAAGGCATCCAATACTGAATAACTAATCAATCAATTTAGAAAATAAAACATAATAAGACAAATTCATCAACTTATCTAACAATACATTTTTCAAATAAGTTATTTAAAATTAATAGTAAATCTATATTTATATATTCCAAAAAATTGCTAATTTATGAAATTAAGGACACAACTAAAAAGACACTTTTCAAATAAGTTATTTAAAATTAATACTAAAATTATATCAGTATGTGTTACCATAAAAGTATATGCTTATACTATAAAAAGAAGGAGAAAGAGAAGCAATGAGGATAATTCGATATTTAGAAGAATATGCATGTCCTTTAAATTTATGTTTCACAAGATTAACAAGATATCCATATAATATTATCAACAATGGTTGTTAACATCAATTACTTTAAGAAAAAAAAATGAAGGAAGTTAGTCCGTGGAATATGTAGTTCATATCATATGAATAGAACCGCCTGTATAAATTTATTCAGGCAAACACATTAATTGTTTAATTATTTTTTCCTTTATGTAGTAATATTATATATTTATTCTATAAATTTTCTAACACGATTATATGGAAGGAATGCAAAAGGGAATTGTGACACGTAATTCATGGTGGATTGGAGGAGAGAAAAATAACAATAAATAATTAAATGTGAATGAAGAAACTTGAAACTCGATCTTATATTTATGCTCCTCATGACTTGATATATTTCAAATATGTAAGTACGCGAACTTATACCCATCAATACTGTTAGGTCATAGAGAAATGGAATTATGATAACTCTTCTTGCGCGGATTAAATTATCTCTTTGATTTCCTATGCAAGATACATGAAATTACATATCTAGTATGAGGACATTTTTTTTGTTTTTGCAAATAATAACATAAAGAAGGTAAAAACCATACTTGTTACTTTGTTTTGTTAGACGGATGATACTCATCTAGGTCTCGATCCTTCATGCCCCTCTGATGTAGGTTAAGGAGTTGTTTTCTTCAAAACAAAAAGTTGCCACCGTTTCATTAAATGACTTCATCGTAGGCGTGAGTTTTTGTAGCTGTTTATAGCCATTTATAGGATATTTAAATTATTTAGAGGGGTATTTTGGTAATCTAACTTTTTAACTATGGGCTTCCCACTTTTAATATAATATAGATATAGATAGATATAGATAAAAGTAATTCAGATTATAACTAATTATCAAATAAATAATGACTCAGGCTTCTCTCCCTACATTCAAGTTAACTAATCTTATTTAACTAGAATTTACGAAACAAAAGCAAAGAAAGAAAATTGAGCGAGGGAGGGAAAGAGAGTACCTTTGAAGGGAAGCTCGCCGGATTCGATGAGTTTTGGCAGCTTAATGTTAATTGGACCCTTATCACAATCGGTCTTTTCTTATTTGCAAAATGTATTTTCGTGAACAAAACTCTCTCAAATATGTGGAATATTACAAAATCACATCTAGTCGAAAAAAGAAAAAAATGAAAAGTTATTTTATTGTCAAAAGAAGGCATAATCTACGTTCCAATATACCGTCTGTTTAATCAATTTTTGATGAACTTGTACTCTTACGGAAGTAATAAAAATAATAAAGTTGATGAATTGTCAATGTAAATGCACATGAATGATATGCGTAGATCTAAAATGATAATAGAAGGCACATATTAGGATTGGACATATTATTAGGCTAAAGCGTAGAATAAAAATTCGCAACCACAAATAATGTTTGAAGAGGGAGATCACTATATAACGCCGTGGAAAAAGAGAAAGTAACAAAGAAGTCTCTCTTCCGTGGAAAAAGCAATAGTTACCAAAAAAATACAAACAGCAGGAAGAAAAAGAACAAAACGACGACAAATTTTAGGACCCCATGCCAAACTGATACCTACTATATTCGGCAGCAGAAATAAAAAAGAACACACCAGCTTAGCCCAAATTAATATATTTCACGTCTAGTAGCATGTCGCGTTCATATGTTTTCATTTTCTTTAGTTCTAGCCAACTCTTGATGTCATCAATGAGGCAGTCGAGGTTATTGTACGACGAACCTCCTTCTCCAACACTTAGTTTTGCCAACTTTGATAATTCCTCAATTGATTTCTTCAACTCGTCTCTTTTTATTTCCATCAGATCCTTTATCATTCTCTCTATAGTTGATCTATCACATATGTCCTTCATGTCCAACCCAATTTGCCATAATTCATTTACTAACTCTACTGTTGACTCTCTGATCCACATAATGTGGCCAGCATATCATGGGCTTTCCCTCACTGATACTTTCCAATGTTGAGTTGCACCCGCTATACGGAAATTTTCATAAAGCACTATCATTTAGTAGTAATTAGTCATCTATAGATATCATTTGCTATATTACGGATTATAGATATATTTTTTGTGGTTATAAGATGTATTTGATGTATTTAAGCTATTGTATTAATGAATACAGTAGCAAAAATATGTGTGAATCCGGGAAGTCCAGCTAATCAATTGTTGTATTCGAGTGTATTCGACTGTATTCATGGAGTGAAACGTGGGATTACAGCTGGACAAATTATTGTATTCGACTGTATTCACGGCGTGAAATAGGGGATTATACTGTTTTTAAAATGGAAAGTGAATCAATTAACATAATAGACTCCTAATATAACTCAACAAACTCAATTATAACACACAAATTTTGTATTTTTAGTTATAAAAAAGATTCTCAACCAAAAAATACACCAAAAACATAGCAATCTTCAGAGAAATTATATAATACATCTAAATACATAAATTATATTAATTAAAAAAAACATATAAATACATTCATGGCATATAGCGAGACAGTGAATACAATGAGATACATAGAATACAACGGGATACATTGAAATACAATGAAAAAAAGACAGTGAATACAATGAAATATATGGAATACAACGAAATACATTGAATTACAATGAAAAAAAAAGACAATGAATACAATGAAATACATGAAAATAATACATTGAAATATATTAACAGAAAATCAAGTTGCTCAGCCCCAAACTCCGTCGGCTTTGTTCAAGAACAAACCCTAATTTCCGACGAATCCGCCGTTCACGGAAGCCGATAGTAAAAACGCGCCGCCTTGGTCTGGCGATGGTGCCTTCAATGGCAAAAAACAACATCAAAGCCTTCAATACCATATCTCAAAAGATGTAGAAATCACAAAAACTTATATCCTTAAATGACGAATTGATTGATAAAGACGAATAAGGATATCATAGAAACTTATATCCTTCAAAGCCTTCAAGCCTTCAATGACGAATTGAGGAAGGAAGAGGAACAGTGAATTCAATGGGTGGTTTTGCCCCTCTCTGTCATTCTCCGCTGTCGATGATCACTCAAATAAAAAATTTCCGAGACAATGGAGATGAATCAGTGGAGAATTATGGTTTTATTCAATGAGAAAGACTAGCGTTGAGAGAGAGAGAGAGGGTGGAGAAAAATCTGAAAGAATGAGAGAGAAAAATAATACAAAGCGTATTTTATGGCTTAAGGGTAGGAGGTGACCATAAATAGATATTTGGCTATAAAAATCAAAAGGTATCTATGGAATATAATTTTTTTAAAATATATTTATTTAAAATAAGTAAGATATCAACTTTTGTTATATGAGGTAAAAATTCCGTTTAAAAACCAGCGATGGATGGGTGGGCCAGTACCATCTTTTGGGGAGCCCAACTCACTATGTAGCCATTTCCATTGCAACCCTCTGCAAGTTCCTTCATAAATTGGACGTCTATTTCGCCTTCCTTCAAAATGTTGGGCCTCATAACCCACAAAAATTTAACTTTACTATTCAATAAGCCATGTTGAAATTCCAAAACTTCCTCCTTTGATACAACTACAACACTTCCAAAAGTCACATAATGTACTGATCCCATGGGCTGCGCATCAAGCCATTTAATAGAACTATGATCTTCTTCCCACAAATTATTTGATGATGGAGTGTTTTTTGAAGCAAGTTTAGCCTTTAAGTGCAAGTGTAGTGGCCCAATTGCATATGTTTTCGGAGAGTAAGAGCGAATACAAGAAAGAAAAGGCCTGTCTAAATCTTCAAATGTATTCAATATAAGACCATGGGATTGTGGGATTCGCTGAACTTGCTTAAAAGCAGCTAGGAAATCTGGATGAGTCTTATAATCCATGTGACAAAAGGGTGGAAGATCTCGTCGGCGAAGAAGACCTTCCATGGCAGGTATATGTGTTACCGATGCATCCAAGTCATTGTCTAGAAAGAAAATATAAAGTTAGCTCTGCATTCCAAATTTGGATGATTTGTTTAATAATATTCCCTTCACTATGTCATTTCAAGTGGGGAATCTTACAAATTAAGAAAGAATCGAAAGAGGGCGGGTCCCAAATGGGAACTAATTGCCAATAAGCAGATTAAATTCTAAAGTGTTGCTAGTCACTTTCTTCTCTCACCCTTTATTAGTGGTATTCTTTTCCGTAATCTATCTTAACTCTCAAGTGTTGATGCTCTACACAAGCTCACTGAACTCAAAATCACAACACAATTGTAGTTTCTGAAAATTCAAATATATGTGGATGTCCCTTTTTACTCATAAAAATCGTTTGTCATTCAGTTTCATATGCATTTCTATTTCAATCTATTTTGGCTATTTTCTATGTCGTCCCTCGGGGCGACTCAAGATTGGAGGTTTAAAACCAAAATTTAATCGGAGACCTTTTTTGAAACAAAACCTTCATATATAATTTTTAAATCTATTTTTTCTAGCACTATACAAAAAATATACTAAATAGACTATCATTATACAAAATATCTACAAAATATACTGTTTTTATACAAAAAATTATACCAAATAGACATTTCAGACCATTAGATGTAATATGTTTGGGCCGGAGGGACATTTCGGGTCAATGAAAAAAAATATAGGCTATTAAAATTTTGAGGGGTTATATTTTCTCTTCATTAAATGAGTTTCCCGACAGTTATTTGCATTTGGTCCTCAATATATTTTCTTTGTCTATAATTTTATGTTTTTATACATTAATCAGTTTAGAAAGGACTTTTTTTTTAACCTAAATGAACTGAAGATTAATAAGAACATCTCGCATAGAATAATACCTTAATCTAGCCAAATGCAAGACACTTCCACCTTTCATGATTCGTATCCATTTAATCAATTTATGGAATATATAAATAGTAGTACTATTTACTAACGTATTTTATTTTTCTCCTTCAGAAATATAATACACTACTGTTCAATTTAATTAATGAGATTCAAACTATGACTATCATGATGAATGCATTTTTTTTCACCATTTTGATGCGAGAAAAGTTGCAACTTATAATAATTTTCTTGTAGTTTGAATACTCTAAATTTTAATTAAAAATAAAAATTAATCAAATAAAAGCTAACTTCGAAGTTTAACTGATAGACTCAATCCAACAAATAAGGAGAGACACGAATATATGTTTCTAACAAAATAAAAGTAATTCAGGTTATAACTAATTATCAAATAAATAATGACTCATAGGCTTCTCTCCCTACATTTAAGTTAACTAATCTTATTTAACTTGAATTTACAAAACAAAGCAAAGAAAGAAAAATGAGTGAGGGAGAGAAAGAGAGAGTACCTTTGAAGGGAAGCTCGCCAGATTCGATGAGTTTTGGCAGACACATGTAAACCCTAAGAAAATAACTTGAACTCGGGTTCTTTGGCTCCACTTCTAAGCATTTCTCTAAGAAAAGGCTCTGTCACGGTCTGCACGGAGCTGATAATATCCCCGAATTGATCGAACGAGCGCGGGTGTTCCTCGGGAAGGCCGTCAGGTATTGTGACGAATCGAAAACCGGGATTTCTCGAAACGAGTTTGGACATTGGTGTGGCGGAGGAGGCGTTCTTGGTTGTGGATGGTGTTGAGGAAGGTCACCTTCAGGCCTGTTAGATTGTATGAAATCAAGCAAAGATGAAGAAGAAATCAGAGAACCAAACTAAGCGAAGAAGGTTCGAGAAAGAAGAACTTGTTCTGGTATTATGACTCGTGGTCCTCAAACCCGGAACCCACAATGTTTATATACAAGCCCAATTCTAATTGGGTCAAAACAGTCAAAACCGAAAGAACAAATTAAAAACTTCTCTGCAACTAAACTAACCCTTCTAGCAATAAATACAAAGCCCAGAAATACAAGGCCCAAATACAAATATAAATCCAACAGCCCCCCTCAAGTTGGAGGGTGGTTAGCCACATCCAACTTGCTCAAAATAGACCTGTGAGTGACACCTAGGAGTGATTTAGTCAGCATATCGGCCAGTTGTAATTTGTTGGGAACATAGGATAAAGAAATAAGACCATCTTGGAGTTTCTCGCGAACAAAGTGGCAATCCAACTCTATATGTTTCGTACGCTCATGGACACCGGATTACGAACGATGTAGATGGCGGACTGACTATCACAATGTAAAGGAACTGGAACAATTGAGGTAACAGAAAGTTCATGTAATAGCCTGGTGAGCCAAGCAAGTTTGGCAACAACTCGGTGCATGGAACAATACTCGGCCTTGACGGAGGACAAGGACACAGTGTGCTGCTTTTTAGACTTCCATGTGAGTAAAGAACCAAAAAGTAACACCAAATAACCACTAACGGATCTCCGGGAACTAGGACAAGAAGCCCAGTCCGAATCATAATAAGCATGTAATGAGAAATCAGAAGCAGCAGACATGAACAAACCTTGACCCAAGGTACCTTTGACATACTTAAGAACATGATAAGCAGCAGAAAGATGAGATGAAATAGGGACATGCATGAACTGACTTAACAACTGTACAGAGAAAGCCAAATCAGGTCTTGTATTTGTGAGAAAATTCAGCTTGCCAATGAGATTCCTATACAATAAAGGGTCAGATAAGGGTTCCCCATCTTTAATGGAGAGTTTCAGATTCACATCTAAGGGGCTAGCAACAGCATTGCAATCTAGACAATTGAAGCCAGAGGTCCAAAGCAAACTTCCTTTGGCAGATGATAACACCTCCAGATTCAGAGATGATTTCCAAATCCAAAAAATAATATAAATGCCCTAAATCTTTTATCTTGAAGTGAGCATCTAGAAATAGTTTGAGAGAACTCATCTCCTCTTTATCATTACCACTTAAGAGAATGTCATCGACGTAAACAGCAACAATTGTAATATGAGAACCAATAGACTTGATAAACAAGTAGTAATCATTTTTTGAAACTGAGTGGCCCTTAGAAATAAGAGAATCACTTAATTTGGAATACCATTGTCTAGAAGCTTGCTTTAGGCCATATAAGGATTTGTTCAATTTACAAACCATGTTAGGTGCAAAAACATTCAGGCCCTGGGGTATTCTCATATATACCTCTTCATCTAAGTCCCCATGTAAAAAGGCATTATTGACGTCCAATTGGTACATAGGCCAACCCTTTTTGACTGCCACAGCTATGATTGTCCTAATAGTGGTCATTTTGACTACAGGAGAAAAAGTTTCATTGTAATCAATTCCCTCTAATTGGGTATCACCCCGTACCACCAGCCTAGCTTTGAATCTCTCTATACTACCATCAGCCTTATGTTTTATCTTATAAACTCATTTGTTACCAATTGGTTTCTTTCCCATAGGGAGAGGGACTATATCTCAGGTTCTGTTGAGCTCAAGAGCCTCAAACTCCTTCAACATTGTAGCCTGCTAAGCAGGATGCAACATTGCCTGATAAAAGTTGGAGGGTCCATGTACAGTGTCCAAGTTTTGAACTAAACTCTGATTGACTGAACTTAGACTACTGAAGCAAACAAAAGTAGGTGAAATAGGAATAGAAGTTAGAGTGGTAGGAGGAAGAGCATCACAAAAGTAATCTGATAAGTAAGAGGGAGGATTATGTGTTTTGGAAGGATATCTTGAGGTGAGAGGAAGTGAAGAGAAAAGTGTATGAGATGAGGGAGGTGAAGAAACATGTTCATAAGATGGTGTTCCAGGTGAAGCCACAAGTTCAGAAGGTGGAAGACTAGAATTCGAGTGTGGTGGAGAAGGAATAATAGGAGGAATAGATGGAGAGGAAGAAACAGGACAATGCTCTGTAAGGAAAGGCTCAATAGATGAATGAGGTGGTTGATGGGAGTCAAGGAGGTTGTGCGTAGAAGGAAATAAAACAATTGAAGAAGGTGTGTCAGAGTAAGGAAAGATGTCTTCATGGAAAACAATATCCCTGGAAATAATGATTTTCTTATCAGAAAGTTGTAGAAGCTTATATGCCTTTTTTCCAGGAGGATAACCCAACAAAACACAAGCACTAGACCGAGGAGAGAACTTATTCTTATGGGGTTTAGGAATCATTGCATAACACAAACACCCAAAGCTTCTTAGATGACTGTAAGAAGGTTGCTCCCCAGTTAAAACTTCATAAGGAGTCTTGCCAAACAAGATGTTACTAGGGAATTTGTTGATTAAGTATGTGGCTGTTAAAATGCAGTCTCCCCAAAATGTAATTGGGAGTTTGGATTGAAAAAGTAAAGCTCTTGCTGTTTCTAGCAAATGTTTATGTTTTCTTTCAACAACTCTGTTTTGTTTAGGCGTGTAAGGACAAGATGTTTGGTGTAAGATACCTTTGGACTGAAAAAGTTGACTAGCTTCATGACTGGTACCAAGTTCTAAAGCACCGTTTGTTCAAATGGGTTTAATTTTGGTGTTGAATTGAGTTTCAACCATGGAGAAGAAAGACTTTAGAATGGACAGAGCATTGCCCTTGTGACTTAAGAGATGTGTCCAAGTGTTTCTACTACAATCATCCACAATTGTGAGAAAATATCTATAAGATCTATGTGTGGCAGTGTGATATGGGCCCCAAACATCCACATGAATAAGACCAAATATATGGGAAGAATGAGAATTACTATCAGGAAGAATTTCTTTATTGTCTAGTTTATTATCAGATTTTTACGTGTTTGAGCCTAATGTGCTAAATGCTGCTTTTTACCGCTTTGATATTGCTTGAAGTGTATATAAAACTATTATGAAACCCTCTTCTCCCTGAGTCTTCTAAATCATCTGGGAAATGTGCACTTCGTGTGACTTCTTTTCTGTTAGAGTGATATCCAATTTTAGAACGAGGTTCGGACAAGTTTCAAAGCCGGTGAAACTTCTGTATTCCCGGTACTCTC